TGTAAGTGCCTGTGTCCACAAAGGTCAGAAGAGGGCATCAGACCCCTGGAGCTGAGTTACTGGAGCTTGTGAGCCGCCCAACATGGGTACTGGCAACTGAACTCAGGTCCTCCGAAAGAGCAGTACCTGCTCTCAGCTCCTGAGCCGTCTCTCCATTCCAGAGCTCAGTGTTTAAGCTAAGAGCTGCTTAATTGCTGAGGTAGTAGGGTTGCAAGCATGAGTTGCATAGAAAACACCGTAAGGAAAGAATGCTGATGGGCTTATCTGTGACTTATTTTTTGGTTGGTTTAGTTTGATTTTATTGAGACAGCATCTTGCCTCACTATGTAGTCTAGACTGGCCTGGAGCTCATAGTCCTCGCATCTGTGACTCCTACATGCTGGGATTACAGGGATGTAGCACCAAGTCTAACAAAGATCTGTCTGTCTGTCTGTATGTATGTATGTATGTATGTATGTATCGGCACTGTTGGAATGGCTACATGTTTAAATGTTTTATTCTGTCTTGAAGCCCAGCCCATTTGGGATTGCTAGTGACAGTTTTAAAAAGTTATCCAATAAATTACAAGAAAGGACAGGTTTCTCTCTCTCCGACTTTCTGGATATTTTTGTTTGTTTAATTCCTTCTATGAACCACAAACGAATGCTTGTATAGAACATTTCTTCTTCATTTTTCTCTCATTCTGCTGCTTTCCCGCATAATAAAACTAAAGGTTTCCCAGTGAGTTGTTGGTGGGTTGGCTGACTTCTGCTGTCAAGTGGTAGTCTTTGCTTGGATTGACCTATTTAATTTTCTCCTTGGGATGGACATGCTAGACATGGAGTTGGGTACTGGCAACGGAACTCGGGTCCTCTGTAAGAGCAGTACATGCTCTCAGTTCAAGGCTCAAGGACTTGTCCCTTGCAGACAAGTGCTCCCCTTAAGCCACATCTTAGGTCTTGGCATATGTCCTCTCGTGTCTCACTTTTATGTGCACAGCGGATGGTGAGATAGACGTGCAGAGAGGAAGATGAGGCTAAACCATTCTCCCCTTCGTTGGTGACATCTATTGCAGATTAGTAATTGAGTCAGAGGGATGTTTGAAAGTGGTCACAAACAGCACAAGTCTCTGAAGGGTCTGTGTGAGCCAAAGAGCCTGCCTTCACTTTTAGGTTAGGGAACCGATCCGAAAAGAGCGCCGAGTTCCTGGATGGGTCGCCAGAATTCCATATCCAAAGCAAATAAACATTATTGCTTATTCCAGTCCTTAATAGTCTGCCACCTCCAGAGACAATGGGTCATCACAGTTGTTACAGATGAGTGGGGTGACACTCCCACTGTGGGAGGCTGGCTCATAAGGACACCAGCATGCCATCTGAAATAGTGACATGCAAAGCAGGTGGTGGTGGAGACCCAGCCTAACATAATAGATGGATACAGGCTGTACAGCTTGGGTTGTGAGTCATCTTTGGGCAGGGAAGAAGGGGAGAGACACCGTGGTATCTAGAGAAGGCCTTGAGATAATCCAGGGTAAAGTGTTGAGATTCTGCAATACATTATATCACAGTTATCTATTTAATGAATTTATAGCACTATAGATTAAACCTCCAGCCCTATGCCTGCTAGGCAAGGACTCTAACACTGAACTACGTCCCTAGCCTACCACCTTCAATCTAAATGTCTTGGTATGATTTCTCGGTTCTGATCATTTAGGAGAAATAGTTGATAAACCCGTTTTATATAATAAACCCATTTTATATTATAAGCACAATCAAAAAATACTTCGTTGAATTATTATCTATCTTTACATGTGTCTAGACTGCTAATTTTTTTCTGGTTGTAAATGACATGCTTGCTACCTGAAGAGGAAAAAGACTAAAGTGAAGCATTTTGCAAATACATACTGATATGGAATACACCGACTCTTATTCCAAGGTTGAGCTGTTAGCGGGAATGAAAGCTGAGCATGAGCGGAAGCTGAGCACTTCATCCTTTCCTGACTCCCACTGTCTTTACACCTAAGGAGTGGTAGGAGTTTGGGAAAACACGTTTAACCATTTTGAACTGTATAAATTGCAAGCGAAATTTTTCTGTCCCAACCTCCTGGTCCCAAATAAATGCACAAAAGCTTATATTAACTACAAAATGCTTGGCCAATAGCTCAGGCCTATTATTAACTAGCTCTTACTTTTAAATTAACCCATGTCTATAAATCTATGCATTGCCACGTGGCCTGTGGCTTTACCGATCCTCTGGCATCTTGCTTTTGGGTGGCTGGCTCCAGTCTCTCCCGACTCTGTCCTTCTTTATCCCAGTCCTTGGTTTGATTGTCCTGCCTAACTTTATCCTGCCTTGCTCTAGGCCAAACAGCTTTATTATTAACCAATGAGAGTTATACATATTCACAGCGTACAGAAGGATCATCCCTCAGCAATAAATTATTACTTTTTTGTATTTTTTTCAAAAACAAACAAGCCATGCTTAAGACAGGTGGTGTACCTCAGTGGTAGAATGCTTATCTAGCATGTGCAATCCCCAGTACTCAGACAACAAGGAGCTTATTCTTTCTTATAGACAAGGGTTCTTTTTTTTTTTTTTTTTTTGGTTTTTTCGAGACAGGGTTTCTCTGTGTAGCTTTGCGCCTTTCCTGGAACTCACTTGGAAGTCCAGGCTGGCCTCGAACTCACAGAGATCTGCCTGGCTCTGCCTCCCGAGTGCTGGGATTAAAGGCATGCGCCACCACTGCCCGGCTAGACAAGGGTTTTAAACATCTTAAGATTTCTTTACTCATTCCCCCTTTTCACCCAAGAAATGTTTATGCAATTCTGATTATATAGGTGTACAAAATAGGTATACAAATCACATATTTACTGATAACAAATCAAAAACTTATTTTTAAAGAATTCTTTCGTATATATGTGTTTTTATCATCTATTGAAGACAAGTGTAAATGAGATGACTGTGCATATTTATTTCGATATAAATAGCTACTGGGGGCTGGGAGATGGATCAATTAGTAAAGTGTTGGTCATACAGCTTGAGAGCCTCAGTCCTAGCCTAGCCTAAGCTCCCATGGAAAAGCCAGGCAAGGCAGTATGTGCCTATAATCCCAGAAATCAAATCATAACCAAAACCCACTTAGCATTTTTTAGAAAGAAAATTTAGCAATACAAACAGCAATTTTAGAAATTAAACATCCCAACACAATACAATTCAAAGTTATGCTAATTTGGTAATGCTAAGAAATGATAGTAGGAAAATATTTAAGAGTATTTGTTTTCTGTAATTCAACCATTATGTTTCTACAACAGTAGACAATTTAGTGCATGTAGCAAAAACAGTGTAATTTAAAACACAACATTTTGATCTGAGCCAAGGTGCTCCTGGTAAAGATCGTTGGTGCTATGAGGTGAGCGTGTGTGCATCTGCAGTGCAGAGTTCCTATTGTGTGTTCAGCACAAGGCTGCAGTGGAGCCTCGCGATGCAACAAAGGCCAGCACTGCCAGAAACATCGTGGATTCAGTTCTTTTGAATTAATTTCTGGTCCCTGCTCATTCGGAAACCTTTTGTTAACCATCAAGTTTTTCACTAATCTCTCATTCAGTTACACAACCTTACACGACTCCCAGTTGAAGAAGAGAGCCAAGGCTGAAGACATAGACCTCCTTGTATGCAGCATTTAGTAACGTCTACTCTTCTACCTCCCCAGCTTTGTGGTCACGTTTACTTTCATCAGAATCCATGAGCTGTAACACCTATCTTAAAAGGTCTTATAATAAAAAAATTCAGAGCCAGATATTGGGGTGAAAGCTGAAAGATCAGAGAAGCAGAGCAAGCCAGCCACAAGTTCTTACCTTTATGGAATCCTCAGTCTAAAGAGAGTGCGTTCCTGTTTCCTTATGCCTTTCTGTGTCCTACCATATTACTTCCTGGGATTAAAGGTATGTGTCACCACTGCCTGGTTCTGTTTCTCTCATGTAGCCCAGTGTGGCTTTGAACTCACAGAGATCCATAAGGATCTCTGCCTCCCAAGTGATAGGATTAAAGATGTGTGCCACCACTGCCTGACCTCTATGTCTAATTTAGTGGCTGGCTCTGTCCTCTGATTCCCAGGTAAACTTATTGGAGTACACAATATATCACCACAATGAGCCAAACTGCTATTTCTATAAATGTTTATAGTATATGTCTTTCCTTTTAACTCCATTTTTATATTTATGGGTTTTTAAAACATTTTTTGTCATCATTATGTTAGTACTATGTAATCTTAACTCATAATATGTCCAAAGAGCTAATCTTAATTTTGACTTTTCTTTTGAGTGATGTTTTCAGAAGTTAGAGTGTTCCCTAGCAACTTTCCCAGGAAAAAAGAATAGGTTTCCTGAAATTTTATACATCTGAATGTGTGTTTGGTTTGTCATTTATTTTATTTATTTCAATGACGAAGCTGTTTGAAGACTCTCTGTGTGTTTATATGTGTTCACAAGTGTTTTTGAAGGCACACACATGTAAGTGTGTACATGGAAGCCAGAATTTAATGTCAGACATCTTCCTCTATCACTCTCTACCCTAATTTTTGAGACAAGGTCTTTCTTGCTGAACCTGGAATTTGCCAATTTGTCCAGATTGCCTGGCAAGGAATGCCCCCAGGACCCTCCTGTTTCTGCCTCTCCAGTGTTGAGATGACAAGTGTGCGCCTGTCTGTCTTTATGTGGGTGCTGGGGATCTGAACTGGCATCTCTTGCTTGCACACTGAGCCGTCTTCCCAGCCCTGGGGTTAGTTTCTACGTCTGCCCTTCTCCAGCGGCTGCCACTCTGCTGTGTGGTTTCTGGACTTCACTGTCCTTCACTAAAGACAAGATTGAGGACAGCCTCTTGTGGGTATTTTAAGTTTGCGGTGCCTTTCTACTTCCTAATTTCTTGTCCTTGGAACTCAGATTGTCCCGAGGTTATGTCTAGACCAGATTCTTTTCTGAGTGCTCTGGCCTTACACCAGTGGTTCTCAACCTTCCGGATGCTGTGACCCTTTACTACAGTTCCTCAGGCTGTGGTGACCCCAACCATGAAATTATTTCGTTGCTACTTTGTAACTATGATTTTGCTACTGTTATGAATCGTAATGTAAATATCTATTATGCTACCTCTGTGAAAGGGTTGTCTGACCCCAAAGGGGTCGTGACCCAAATGTTGAGAAACACTGCCTTACGTGATGAGCCTTTTACGTGTCTCGCCAGAGACTGCTTGCCAGTTCTTTTACCCTCTCAGTATTTTTATTTAATTGCTTTGAGTTATTCTGACTTGAGTGAGATTAAAATCAAGTTATTATTTGTAGACTATGTTTCTGCTTTCTAATCCTCATAATTACCCCCCCCCTTAAAACGCATTTTCATTTTTGATCGTCCTCCTGTGTGTTTTGGGAGGCTATCTCAAGTCCACTCCCTCATTCCTAGTTTGATCTTCAGTATCAACCCATTGTCATTTGATCTCCGGTGTCTACCTTTTGTCCCCTCCAGAGCAGGTTTGTCTTGCTTTTTTTTTTTGACAAGGTCTCTTGTAGCCCAGGCTGATCTTGAACTCACTATGTACATAATGATGACTTTAAACTTTCAGATCCTCCAACTCCTACCTGTCAAGCACTGGGCTTCCAGGCATGTACTGCCACACCCCATTTGATTTAGTGTTGAGGATGGCACCGAAGACTTCATACCCCCTAGACAAGCACTCTACCAACTGCTCTGCACCCCAGCCCAGCATTTTTAAATGTATTTTTCCACTTCCTTATAATTTCTTTTCAGACATAGCTGTCTGGTTATCAAGCTTCTTGTTTTTTTTTTTGTTTGTTTGTTTGTTTTTGTTTTAATCTCTCCTAAGCTCCATTTAATGTTTTGTTTTTATTTCATGGCAAACTTAAGATGGAATTTAGCAAGACTTCATCATTTGGCTGCTTACTAACAACAACAGAAAGCAGGTATGTTTTGTGTACTCTTAATCTCAAATACAGCTATCTTCTGAGTGCTCAATTTTACCAAATATTATCCTTAAGGCTTTTTAACCATTCTCTTATTTAACCCTCCAGACATACAAAGACTAGTTGCTCTCATTTTGCTGTGGACATCGACATTTTAAAAGGACGCTAAAAAGCTGGAAGCCAACACATTCTAAAGTTAGCCGAGAGTGAGAATTTAGATGTTCTAACCCCCGATTTCCTATTACACTTCCTATTTCTTGCATAAATAGCTTAAGATTTTTATTTTAACCAAACACGCAGAAAAACAGCTCCCTCTCCTTTGCTGCAGCCGTTTATCACGGTTCGTTCCTTCTAGTCCAACTTCTATTTACCCCCATCTCTGCTAATTCAACCTCCCGGGTTTGTCGGGCGAGAGAGCACACGGATGCGTAGGGGATTATTCTAGAATGTCTTCCCTTCCTCTCCTCACCAACTTGTCAGCGGTCCATAGACCACTTACAGTGGTATTTGCCCTCTGGAGGGATTACTTAGTGGCATTGCGTCAAACCCAGCTGTAATCCCTTCCTTCACGGGTAGCTTTGAGCAAGAGCTTCCGCTCGTGACGCCTCTGTCACCCAGATTCCCACTGGGATGAACCGAGGAGAGGGGAATCAGGGCGCACCCACACACCGAGCTCTTGATCACGATCACGTCTGAGCTCAGTGCAGACTCCCCTTCCAGGCCGAGGGCTGGGTGGGGGGAGCCTTCCCAGAATGCACCGCTGCACAGCCTGCCTCGCGGCTTTCCAGAAGCATCTTCTCTGGACGCAGGAGAGAGGCGAGGAGGGCGAAGGGTTGAGAGCAGGTGAGATGTCCCAGCAGGGGCCATCCACAGCCCCTCCCACCCGTATTTGTGCAGGTCTGGTCCACAGAAGGGCTGGAGCTTCCCGTGTCTCACATCCCAGCAGGCCAAGGTTGGGTCCATGTTCCCTAGAGGCCCAGAAGTCTTTGGGGCCCACACTGGCCAGGCAGGTTTCTGCCCCGGCCCGCACAGGCCAAGGCAGGATTCCTGTCCTCATAAAGGCCCAGGTGACCTTGGGCCCATGATGGCCAGGCAGATTCCTGACCCCGCACAAGCCAGCGTTGTGTCCCTATTCCTTACAGGCCCGGGAATTCTTGGGCCCACGCACACCACACCGAGTCTCCGTCCCCTAGGCCTTGTGTCCATGTTGGCCAGGCAGGGTCCCTACTCCCTCCACAGATAGAAACTGTGCCCCTGGCCCCTCACAAGCTAAATCACACACACCAGTACACACACTCTAAGACTAAAAGTCTTTGTAGCTGCACAGGTGGACCTGGGATTCAGTCCCAAGCCCCAAATAGGGGTAGGAGCAGTATAGACACCTCTTCCCTGTAGCCACTGCACACACAGCCTTGCAAAAAGTCCATTAGAGACATCTCAGGCCACAGTGCCTGGAGGTTTGCGTTCTTACCTGTGCCTACCTTGGTTTTTGTGACATGAAATGTTACTGAGCTGTGTCTTCATCTAGGTTAATAGATCTAACCCAGATTTTTTCCGAGTGCTAAGGTAGGGAATTTAGCAGGAAGCCTTGGAGACTGACTGAGGTGGACTGAATTTAGACTTGGCTTTACATGCCACCAATGGCCTTGTACTCCCAGCCCCAAAGCCTCTTCCCGGGAACTCTGATTTCTTCACTTCATATTCTCCCTATGCCACAGCCCCACACACTACACTACACACACCCCTTCATTTAACATGTATCAAGACCCAGTATGTTCCTTGTACATACTGCAGTTCTAGGTGCTGGGACCCTTGAGATGAGGGAGACACCCACCCTTTTGTTCGTAATCCCAGGGCGGAGGCCTAAATCATTCCAACACTTGCTGTTTACCCAATGCTTTCTTTCATCTCTTCAGAAATTGACTTCAGGATGAGATGTGTGGCTCAGTGATAGGCCTTGGATATAATCCCCATCCTCTCTGTCCCCAAAGAGAAAGAAAGCAAAATGTTCTAAACTGAACTGGAACCAGTGAGGAAAAGTTTAGGTGGCTTATAGAATTGTAAAAATAGTAAATTAATCCCCTATAAATCACCCCTCATCAACAGTGACTAAGAAAATTAACTTAGTAGGTTTAAACCCTTTTAAAAAAAATTGAAGTATCCAGAATTAAGTCATTTGTTTAGACCAGGTAAGTATATTGCATGCACAGAAAGTGCCTTTACAGTAGCAATGCTCCCCATTGTTTACATGATTGAAACTGAGGTAGAGTTAAGTGGGATTTTGTCCCCAGCTAATTCCGTGCTTTACACTGACTTCTCATAGCATTGGCATGCATGGTTTTGGTTATCTGACCCATTACGATCAGTGCAGACCATTTCTGGCGTGTAAGGAATGGCAGAGCTGCTTGAATGTGTGAGTCACTGTGCTGGTTGGCAACTCCGGAAGCTGTAAGGCATCTTTGTTACCGTGAAAGTATGCAGGGCCTACACACTGCCTCTTTTGTTGCCATGTGTGGCCCATACAGCTCTCTTTGCTCCGTTTTGGCTCCCTTGAAACCTAGTAAAGACATCCAGTACTCCAAGAATTTTGCTTTCCAGTTATTACTTTCACCCGAAGCTTTCAGGCTAAAAGTGTTCCATTAGTGACAGTCTAGTTTTTTTGTTTGTTTGGTTTGGTTTGATGCTACGGATTGAACGTGGGGGCCCTGCACATGCTCGGCTCCCGTCTGCACCCCTTCATTTCAGTTTGTTGTTTTGTTTCATTGTATTTTTGAAACAAAGCCTCGCTAGGTGACCCAGGCTGCCCTTGAACTTAAGAGACAATGTCCTAGAAGAAATGGTAGGGTCTTAGATAAGGGATCACTTATGGGAGATGATTCCAGATCAAAGTGATAACTGCCCCTGAATCAACTAAAAGGAAGATTAGTATTGGCATCTCATATGGAATAAGGTGGGAATCACATCAAGTGGTAAGAAGTAAGCAATCCTAGAAGTTTAGATTTAATGCAACTGGCATAGAGAGTCAGTAACTTTGGGGCTGGAAAATAATTCAGTGATAGAGCATTTTCCAGCATGTGCAAGGCCCTCGGTTCTCACCACAGCACTAGATAGATAGATAGATAGATAGATAGATAGATAGATAGATAGATAGATAGATAGATAGATATAGATGATAGATAGATAGATATAGGTAATAGATACATAGATGATAGGTAGATAGATAGATGACAGATGGATAGATGAATGGATATAGAGAGATATAGGCAATAGATAGTAGATGATAGATGGATGGATAGATAGATATAGATTGCTAGATAGATTATAGGTAGGTAGGTAGGTAGGTAGATAGTTAGATAGAGATAGATAGATGGATGCATGCCTAACTTCTGCAGCATGAAGCAGTTTGCTAGGAGCTGTCTTCTGAGTGTGGGCAGCTTTAGAAGGGAACAGCCTTTGTGTGTTGGAATCTATCTCAGCACCACTTCCAGTCACCTTAGAATGTTCAGGTCACCATGAATGTTTTAAAAGCTAAAACACACCCGACGAGGGAAAATGTTTGAATTAGATTTCTCCCTAATAGTAGTCTGGAGATTATCGAAGAGTGACAACAGCCACTGTCCTCAAGATGGATGTGAAGTTCTCTAATGACCTCTGGCATAACCACAGCCTTTGTCAGAAGTCATCAGATAAAGGTGCCATGTTCCTGGGAACAGGTCCTGGATGACTCGAATTATGACACTCGATCTAATTTGTGTTTTCTGTAGGGCTCTCCATGGTTTTTTTTGTTTGTTTTTTCTCAGAGAATCCATAGGCTGGAGAGAGGTATCCATTCTTAGGGATCTCTGGTTTTCTGGTTTCTCAAGCAGGTTGTTTTTTTTTTTTTTTTTTTTTTTTGTTAATGTGTATGTGTGTGGTATGTAGGTGGCATAATAGGACACAGGATAGGAAATAGAGTCGGAAGAAGGAGGAAACAGATAATATCTCCTCAAGGTCAAGGCCATTGTGTTGATCTCTGTATTCCAAGCCTTTTGTAGACTGTGCTGGGTAAAAATGGGTCAGTAAATACAATGTGTTTTGTTTCCTCATCTAGTTCATGCATGACGTGGCACTGAGTATCCAAAAATATTTATTCCAGCTCTAATCCCTGCTTATCACCTATTTCTCCCCACTGGCTAGTGTTTATGCAACTCTTAGAGTCCAGCCAAAACACAAGGAACATTTCCTTGGATACTCCAGCACAAGTCATGGAGATGAACCACAGATGCTCGCCCTCACCAATTCCATCTAGGAACTGAGACCTGGAATTGGCTATTTGAGAAGGTGAAACTTTATCTGCCCTCTTCCATCTGTTTCTTGATTCTATATTATATAGTCCCAGTTCCTCATTTAAAATCCATGGCTCGTACTTTCATGCTTTTCACGTGGGACTTGAAGGTAGCAAATGTTGGAGAGTCCATCTTCTCAGCGGTGTTGGAACAGGAAAATATATGCACCCCACAAATACACATGGCCATTTCTTCCACACCTCTGTGTAAAAGACTTGTGGATGCTTTTGCTTATCTATGGAAATGTGTGTCTGTCTGGTTTGGTAGTCATACTCGATTTTTATTCTTGAGATCTGTAGCTCCTTCAAAACAGACGATATGTCTGGCACGTAGTATGAACCTAATAACTATTAGCCAAGGGAATTAGCTAGTGAATATGACATTCAGAGACCAGAAGTGGTTGCAACACCAAGACTTTGTACAGTTGTTACACTCAAGATTTAATTGGATAAACTAATTCTAGATGTACAAACTAAGACCTGTTACAAAATAACATAAGAATAAAAGCCTATAAATTAAACATACCAATCATCATGATAGCTATAATCACAGCTTCCATTCATACAGTACCATTTAGAAGCTTATTTTATATAGGCTGACTAATGTTTTACAGCACTAATGATATTGCTGTTGATACTGTTTTCCAGCTGAGAAACGGGAAGGTCTGTCTGATGGACTAAGCAATTTATCTTTAGTCACACAATTAATACAAATAAGACCCTTTATTATTTGTATCAAGTGGACCTTAGCAGACAAAATTTTCTAGAGGAACCAAGTCAAACCGTGTCTTCTTCAGTCATGATGGCCAAGGGCTGTACATACAAGTGACTATGACCAGCTGGCCAAACACTGGCCTTTAAGAGACAGCCTTATTCACAAGCTGTATATGTGAACTTGTGGTCTGGCTTGCATATAACATCAGAGACAGTGTTGCCAGAGTGATGCCAAGAATTATTTTTCTCAAGTCCTCAGTATGTGACAGACTTAATTCTTCAAGGAGAAAATCTCCCCACCTCTTAACAAACCCACAGCAGAGATGGCCTTCTTCATGATGTGCAATGATCTCTTCAAGTTTTCACAAAGCAAATCCCTATTGTGGTAGAGAGGAAGGGTGCCATGGGAGGTATCCAGACAAAGAAGCTACTCTGTTGACATTGCACTCTAAAGCTGCCGGAAATAATTCTAATTACCGCCCCGGCCCCCCGCCCCCCCCCCGAATTCAGCAGTAGGCAGGCCAGCCAGAGATCCCAGCCCTCCTAGAGCTTACATGGCAGTGAACAGATAAACTGGGAAGAGGGTGAGTTAGATGGGGAGAGGTAGCTTAGGAGGGAATGGTGCAGGATGGTGGGTACTGGGGGACGGGGAGGGCGTCCTAGGAGGATGAGTGTGTAAGAACCTTCTCCCCTGGGACGCGTGACTGTAG